TTCAAGTTCAATCTCATGGCTTCTCAGAGAGCTGATCAGTTCCTCAAATGTGATCTTGTTCAGATCCTTAGCTAGCTTCAGAGTAGTGACCATTGGTCTCCATCTGATGGGAAAACTTCTGATGATCTTCTTAACATGATCAGCAGTGGAGTAGCCTTTGTCCAGCACTTTTGATCCACCTGTGAGGATCTGGAATCTAGAGAACATGGCTTCTATAGATTCATATTCTTCCATTTTAAAGGCTTCATATTTCTGGATTAGCCCCAGAGTCTTGGTCTCTTTAACTTATGAGTTCCCTTCATGAGTCATCTTCAAAGACTCAAACAAATCAAATGTTGTTTCTCTGTTGGTAATCTTCTCATACTCAGTATGAGATATAGCATTTAATAAGATTGTTCTAGCTTTGTGATGATTTCTGAACTCCTTCTTCTGAGCTTCAGTCATGGATTTTCTATCAATTTTCTTGCCATCCCCATCAGTGGGGTGAACATAACCATCAATGACTAAGTCCTAAAGATCAGCATCATATCCAAGAAAGAAACTTTCAATCCTGTCTTTCTGTAATCAAATTTCTCCCCATCAAACATAGGGGGTTTAGTGCTGATTCTTTCTCTGTCTTCATATCTATTGTTGTTGGATGTTGAGGCTTCAGCCATAATGTATCACCCAAAATATATCAATAGTTTTCTCAACCGGATCTTTTCTGTTCACGGTGAAGTGATAGCACACACAGAATCGGACCTCTGATGCCAACTGAAAGTGAGAAAATACTTAGAAGGAGGGTTGAATAAGGGTTTTCAGAAATAATATGGCAATAAAAACACAAAGATTTTTATCCTAGTTCGTTGAACTCAACTACACAATCCACCCTATCAAGAGTGATTTGCCTTTCTCCTCAAGGACTTAATCCATTATAATCAAATGGATTACAATGTCAACCACTAAGAACAATTGTCTTAGTCTTCTCAAGAACTACTGACCACAACTTGGTCTTCTTAAGGAACTTTTACAATCAAATGTAAACTAAACAAGTGTTTTAAAAATGCTTCTAAGAAAGCTATATCACAATTGTGATTTATACACTTAAGATTAAGTACATATGAAACTATTCAACAAAGAAATATAATTTGTATGAGAGCTTTGAGAGAGTTTTCAATAGATTCTTCAATATACGTCAATGTTCGTCAATTGTAGAAAGTTGTTGAAGGCTTGCTTTTATAGACAAAGAAGTCCAAGACATTGCAAGCTTGAAGACCGTGTACTGCAAAGTAGCTATAGCCTTTTGTCTTCACATGACTTGACCTTTCCTAGAAGTAGAACGTTCAAAGAAATCCTTTTTGCCTGAGTTCTTATGTCTAGCATAAAAGAGGAAAGAGTCGTTTGGAATATGCCAACGGATATATCTTGAATAATATTCTTCAATAAGTTTCTATCTTGTAGCAATCAACATTAGAGCCTTGAGTGATCAGAGTCTTGATGTTATCAGAGTTTGCTGTATCAGAATGTTACAGCAAGTGAGCTTTAGCGTGAAATCAATCAGAGCAGAGTTTGGAGATCAGATCCTCAGTACTTGCAGCGAACAGTACTATAAGAGTCTTATGATGAACAGTGCTTGAAACTCTTCATACAAAGTCTTCAGTCTACGCTTCAGATGCTTCTGTAGCTTCTGCTTCAGATTCTTCTGTAGGCAGCGCTCAGAGTCTTCTAACTGGATGCTTCTGACGCTCAGAGTCTTGCGTAGTTCAATGTTCAGATTCATTTTTGCTTTCAGAAGAATATTAAATTTAATATCTGCAACAAAAATACTTGAACAAGTTTAGAGTATATAATTTCTTAATACAAAATTTCATTAGTGTTATCATCAAAACATAGAGATATAACTAAGAACCAATTTGTGTTCTAACAATGAAGTGTTTGAAATTTGGAGGAAAATGGTGAAAATTGAAACAATTCTAGATCCTTCCAAATATGATCAAGTAAAATCAATGGTTGAGAATGATTGGAAAATACACATGCTGAAAACTCAAATATTTTGGCCAATTTTGTTTGAAGTAACCGGTTACCCTATATCAGGTAACCGGTTACCCTGTCCAAAAAGTGCCACGTTTGGCGCCAAATGGAGGGAATCCTGTACAATTGCTCGTTGCCACCCGTTCTGAGCTCCGTTAAGCCTCTAAAACTTGCTCTTGAATATCATAAGTGTGAGAACGCCTGAGATAACCTGGGTATTGTCTCATGAGCTGAAAATTAACCTACTGAATAAAATAAAATTGACAGCTCGATTGCTAGGAAAAATAAATGTTGGAGCCTCTGACGCTCGCTGCTTAGACTCTTGTAAGAAAGGGGAACCCTGAGCCATGAAAACACCTTGATGCCATGCCTCAAGAACAAATGCTATGATATGCAGAAATGTAAAATGCAAAGAAATATAAGCCAGTAAAGGTTAAAACAAAAGGGCAAATTTTGGGGTGTTACACCAATGCCTTAGAGTTTCATGCAAATGAATAGTTATAAGTGTATGACCTAATAAATAATGCATATGTATGTGAAGCAAAAGCTAGTTAGGGTCAGGAAAAGTGAGGTCAAATTTTGGGGTGCAACAGGTGACACTTAAACAATATGCTCCAGGGACTGTTACCATCTTGAAGACCTTGCCGACATATACCCCAGACGGGACTTGTGTCAGTGGAAAGGACATTTTCCATCGACTCTTCTGGGCATTTGAACCATGTATCAAAGATTTTGTATACTGTAAACATATTATACAAATTGATGGAACATGGTTGTACGAGAAATATAATGGAACACTACTCATGACAGTGGAACAAGATGGCAACAATAATATTTTTCTGATCGCCTTCACTCTAGTTGAAGGGGAGACTGTTATGGGTTGGAGTTGTTTCCTAAAAAATCTCTGATTACACGTGTCTCCCCAAGCTAACTTATGTTTTATTTCTGACAGACATCCATCAATCGATAGTGCATATAAAAATCTTGATAACGGCTGGCAAGATCCTCATTCAATGCATATCTATTGCATTAGACACATCGCTCAAAATTTCATACGGGAGATCAAGGACAAGACGCTGCAGAAGAAGGTTATGAACGTAAAGTATGCATTAAAAGATCCTTCCTTCAAACACTACCGTGAAGAAATCAGATTGACAAATGCAGATGCATTAAGATGGATCGACAATATTCAACTAGAGAAGTGGACCAGGGCATACGACAATGGCCAACGATGAGACCACATGACAACAAAACTCGTTGAATCAATGAACTTTGTATTCAAGGGTATCCGAAACCTACCGATAACCGCTTTGGTAAGGGCAACATATTTTAGGCTCAGGGCACTTTTTGATATCAGACGTTCAAAATGAAGTTCTATCTTACAATTTGGGCAGTTGTTCAGTGATAATTCGATGAAATTCATTAAGGACGAAGTTGCCAAAGTTAACACACATGTGGTCACAGTGTTTGACTATAATAAAGTTTGGTTCAATGTTGCTAAGTCAATGAATCACAATGAAGGGAGGTCGAGGGGCTGCTGCCGAGTGGAACTAGATAGGAGTTGGTGTGACTGCAGAAAGTTTCAAGCCTTTCGTATGTCTTGCTCCCATATAATAGCAGCATGTTCAAAGGCTCGCCAGGACCCTTCCAACTTTCTGTCCGTTGTTTACCAAGTCATTAGTCTATGCAGTGTCTACAACACTAGTTTTCAGGTAATAACAAAGGAGGACTATTGGCCTGCATGCGAAGGAGAAATTGTCAGGCGCAATGAAATTATGCGAAGAAAGAAAAAGGGTCGCCCTAATAGCACGCGTATTCGAACAGAGATGGATACGACAAACAAAATGATCAGATTATGTAGTTCGTGTCGTCAGCCCGAGCACAATCGTACAAAATGTCTCAATGTTGGATCAAACGCAACATCATAATTTTAAATGTAACCTTGTTTCTTTATATCAACAACAAATTTCATTCCATGAATATCATAACATTCAACAACAATAATTTAAAAACAACAATTAACAATAATTTAAACAATTAAAATAACAAAACAAACAAATATAACGGCCAAACAACATAGCTTAGTGATTACAACCATCAAGACAACTTTTTTAGAACTATACATCAACGTATGAACATCATTGTTGGTTGTAACATTCTCCCATAAACTAACTTCTTCATTTTGGTTGAACGTGGTAACAAGCCTTTGAATTCTTCTGATCTTTTCACCCTCTGAAATGTCTCCATCTAACCAGCGGATTAGACTCTTGTTAAGATGTTCTAGCGTCAGTGTATTTCAGAGGCGAATCTTCATTAGGGATTTCACGAGCGAGAAAATTAAATTGGCATTTCTCTTGTGGATATATGGAACCTGATAGAGATATTTGGCGTAAGAAGAGAAAGAAGAGGAAACCATTTTGACAGAGAAATGGAAGGAATGAAGAGAAGTTGGTTTGAAGAAAAATGAAGAGAAGTTAGTGCAGAGAAAAATGAAGACAAGGTGGTTTGTATTTATATAGGGGAATGTATAGTAGTAGCCACTTAAAATGGGGTATCATAGCTGATTTTTAAAAAATACAAAGGGAGGCGCCATATAAAATGGCGCATGTGTGTTAAAATTAAAGAGAGGTGCAATTTTATATGGCTTGGTAAAGGATGCACCATGTCATTTAACGTATCCATGTTTTTGAAAACTCAAACTACGTTACTTTGATAAATTTTTAAAAAACATAGATATTTTTGTATTTAAAAAAAAAATTATTCTAAAAAAAATCTGCACTTTGTTTAAGAATATCAATAGAGACACTACAAGATTGTCAATAATAATAATAATAATAATAATAATAATAATAATAATAATAATAATAATAATAATAATAATAACTTATGCATTGATACACTTATTTAAATTTTTGTAATATATAATAAAATAACATAATCCAATTTGCACTGAGCTTTACTCTCGAATCAATCATATGTGTATGCGCCAACTAATCTTTGGGGGATATCTCAGAGTTCTTCATAGATGCTTTAAATATGATTTCAAATGCTTTCTCCATGCAGAACTTTAGTTTCTCTTCATCTATAAATCCCTTTAGAGTTTTCATGGTCACTCTTAGTACTTTCACATAACTCATAATTGTAATGTTTATATCCTACCATCGTACACAAGAAATAAATAACGTCAGAACTATATTTGATATACTTATCTTGTCCAAACACAAACATGTAAGAAAACTGTATAATCCAATCATTCATTTCTCTCTTCTTTTGACTTTTTACTCATCAAAATGTGAAGTAAAAATAATATTTCTCAATACATAATTATTTAATTCTTTAGAAATTAAGACTTAAATTTTTTTAAATAATATACCTGAGGTCCACCGGTCATGGTGAAATACAATCCGTTTACTGGATGATTTGCCAAAGTCATTTTCTCCATTGGCCCTACCATGTTTGAGATGACGACACTCGTGTTCCCAATAGTGTCATAAATTATTTTAGAGACTGCCTGAAACATCAAACCAATAAAGTAGAAAACATTATTAAATTAAGGAGGCTCCAAACTAAGTAAAACTAATACAAATTTAAATATTAACATGTGACACACCTCAGGTCCTCTTAATTTCATCTCCAAATTCATAAGCAAACCTGTAAGGTAAACACTGAAAGAAATTTTCTTCCTTTTAATTACTTCACGAGCTTCCCAAACAAACTCGAGAGGGTTAGAAATTTCTGATTCCTTTGGTTTAGGTATTGGTATTTGTAAGAAAGATAGTTTATTCCCCCAAAGACCTTTATTCTCTGGTTTTTGCATTTCCTTCAATGATTGATAACCTCCATTATTTCTTGTGTTGAGCATTACAATTGCCGTGCAATTTGTTCTCTTTGTCTTTTCATTCATCTCTTCCATGTATAGCCTAAGTCCATAGAAGATCATCCCACAAATCACGTCGTTTATAGTCTGCACCATTTATATATGCATGGAAAACTTAATCAAACCTAAGTACAATTATAGTGTGTAATTGCATCAAAATAAGATAATCTATATAGTTAAGCTTTAAAAAAAATTAATAATCATACTACTCCAAGTTTTGATTTAATTTCTTTGATTTCTTCAAGAGATAATGATATGTTTGACAAGATAACAGGCTGAGAATCAATTCCTTCGTATCCTGATCTTATAGGTGTTATGTCATCCGGAACCATTCTTGTCTTGATTATACTTGATCCAAAATCTGATATAGAGCTAAAGATGGATGATATATCTAAATATTGATTCTTAAATAAGCTCTTGTTTGCCGATTTTGAATCTAATCGTGATCGTGATGAAGGAAAAGTGAGAGGAAGAGAAGGATCATCAGCTCTCTGAAGACAAGAAAGAAGAGCAGCCATTATAGAGTAACCATCGCCAAGTGCATGATGAAGTTTGAATATTATGGTGCTTGCAGCATTGGTTGTTGGATAGTTGATCACATGAATTTCCCATAGTGGTTTTTCTTGTGGTGTCCTTTCATCGAAAATGCCGATTACGTAGTCACTAAGATAACTGTCATATAATTCATTTGGCGACGAATTTGTGGTTTGAGGAAAACTAGGAATCTTTATATGCTCTCCAGGGTTCACTTCAACCTTTTTCCATCTCATCTTACCATCTTTATCTCTAACCTGTTGCAAAATAATTAAAGTAACTAATAAGTAAAATTTGGATAAAGTAGTACTAGTAATGAGTGAAACATGGAAGAGTTATATAGAACCATAATAGAGGAGAAACGTGGATTGATAGGGATGAAAACATCTTTGATCAAAGGTATAGCTAGTGAGTCATCAAATGAAATAGCTAGTTCTAGAAAACCAAAGATATATGAACACATCACAGAGCTATTGAAATATTGTCCATGAGGACTCACTGGCTCTTCAACCTCTTCAAAGAATTTGTCCATTATATTGTCGTGTGTTTATGTTCTATTACACAATATGCTATGAAAAATAAAGCTGCCTCCATGATATATATACTATTAGTCTATAGTTGTCGGTGGCATTTAGGAGAGGAAGTAGAGTTTTCTCATATATAAAAGAAAATATTAATTATGATAATTATAATTATAATCAAATTAAAATACTTAATCTATCTTTTTTAGAAAGAAAAATAGAAAGGTGAAAGTGAGTAATTTTTTGAAGAACACGTAATAAAATTTTCAAATTAATTAATTTTCTCATTTTCTTGTTATTATATATTTTTGAGTTTGAGTATTTTTTTAGATGTGCATTTCGAAATCTTAGATTTTTATTGATGTGTTTTGAAATTTGAGTGGTTAAGAAAAGTACTTAATTCGAAATGAACAGCCACAAGTGGGTTTGGTACCATGTAATGGTGTTGAGTTTTTAGATTTTGGTGTCGGTAGCTTTTGAATAAATATGTTTTTTTAACGGTAACAAAAGTATTTAATTCAAAATGAACAAGACTCAAACACCCGGGACCCTCAATATACAAAGACACGTCTCAACCACATGCAGAATTTAAATTAAAAAGTGTTTTTTTTAACTGAGTGAGGGTAATTTTTCAATAAATAGAGATACTTGAAAAATAGATAAAGTACACGAAAATAAAAATATTCACATTTATTTTTCACCATTTCAATTATTCTAAAGTCATTTTTTATTTAATTAATACATGAGTGAAGTATAGGAAACAATTTTCTATAAATTATTATAAAAAAATAAGTGTAATGTGTTTGTGCAATTATTAAGGTATTCAAAGTATTTTAAAGGGAATTCTCCGTTAATTCTTATTGCATCTAATATATAATAATTTGTAATGGCTAATTAAACCTAAAGGTTAGTGTGAAATACACAAGCTTTGAATTTTCAAATGCAATTTTCATTAACGCCTTCTTTGTTCAAGTGTGCTACATATTTCAAATAACTACATCATCCAATCATCCAATAGGTACTAACACAGAGCTTCATATGAATATTAAACAGCAGATTTACAATGGTATTGGAGTCAGTAAGGACAATAGCTTTGTGGCCCTGGAGATATTGACGAGGAAGATGATGATAGCTTTCAGAAAAGTGAGTTTACTGATGCAACTCAATTTAATCCTGAGGATAACAGAGTTATTAAAGATACTCTTGGAAATCCAACAACAACAAGGCATAAAGAGAATATGAAATTCTTACAGGAATCATGGGTAAACTTAGCAGATAATGAGGAAGATGAAGATTCCATTGAAACTGCCTCACCTGATACTTCTGAGACAACTTCCAGAAGGAAAGTTTTCTCTACTACTACCCACAAATCTAAATATAAAACCAAATTCAAGACTAGTAGCTTTAAACACTCTATATGAAGTGTTTATTTTGGAACATTATGGGTTTAGCTAATCAACCCTCAAAATCGGCTCTAAAAACTCTATTATCTCTAACAAACCTGACATTGTTATTGTTGTTGAACCATGGATGTCCTTTCAGGATTTCCCTAGTAAATGGCTTGAGAGATTGGGCCTCAAATTGTTTGCCCTGAACATTAGGGATAGTTTGAATCCTAATATTTTAATTTTTTGTACTTGTAACCTAACCCCCTCTTTAATTCATACTGATGATCAAATGATTGTTTTTACTGTTCATAATGTCCTTTCTTTGTTTGGTTTTGTTGCAGTTTATGCTTTTAATAATTATTGAGTTAGAAGAAACTTATGGTCTAATTATCTGATATTAGTGAAACAGTTCGCATCTCTTGGTGTTAAATTGGTGATTTTAATGTTATCTTGAGAGCTCATGAGTACAGGGGTAACCATAGGGGTGGCAAAATGGATGGATTGGATGGATATGGATTGGATTGTTAATGGATGGATCAAAGCAATCCATTAATCCATTAACAATCCATTAAACTCTTTTAATAAAAATTCAATCCAATCCATCCATTAAAAGATAAAATTCATCCAATCCATCCATTAACATATTTTTAATGGATGGATATCCATCCATCCAAAAAATTAATTTAAAAATTCTTAATTTAATAAGTAACAACATAATATCCAATGGATTTATAAAATGAGATGGATGGATTGAATCCATCCATATAAGTTAGTGGATGGATTGGATCAAATCCATTAAATTATTTTTTGTCTTATGGATGGATTAGATGGATAAATTATTGGATGGATTGGATGGATATCATCTAAATGGATTTCATTTCCACCTCTAGGTAACCATTATCCTTTTAGGAAGTCTATGGTGCATTTTCAAGAGTGGTCGTCTTCCAATGATTTACATCATATACCCACCAGAGGTGCTTGGTTCATCTAGCATAATGGTATAAAAGGCAGAGCTCGCATAGAGAAGGGACTTGATAGGGTTATTTGTAACCAACTTTGGTTGAACACTTGCTCTTTCACATCCTACAACACCTTGGTCAGAATCAAATCAGATCACCATCCTATTTTGTTGGATTTCCAAGTCGCCTCTACAACTATTATTTCCCAGTTTAGATTCATGACAATATGGACTCTTAACGATTCCTATATGTTACACCCTAATTTTGACCCTGAACCGCTTGTTGTACATATCATAGCATTTCCATCATTTTAGTATCATATCTTTTATTCATATCACCTACCATTGTGCATGTAGATTTGCACCTTTTGTTCTGTGCTATTTAAGCTCAGGTATTACAAGATTGAATCAAGGATCAGGCAAAGTAGTCAAGTCAAGTTATTAGGCTTTGGCAAAGGCATTTGTTTCGAGGTGGATAACCATCAAGGCTAGTTCATTCTCAATTCGATTTTTGGTGCAGTGATAGTACTTCAGGTCACTTGTATTATGGATCATTGTGAGAGGAAGGGAGTGGCAAATTTAAATGGTTTCTGTCTGAAAATCATTAAGTGGTTAGAGTTAGGGTTTTGGTGCCAACTCATGTTAGCTGATGAAGTGATGTTGTTGAACGTCGAGGTATTTGGTCATTATGTCAAGTCATTTGCGGTTCATGTTCTTGTTAAGATCATTTCAATTTGAAATCAGAATGCGGTGTTGTACCTCATGGATTTGATTCAAAATATCAAATGCCCTTCTAGTATGAGTTTATTGAGAGTTCGAGTTTCTAAAAATTTGGTTCCGAGATTGAGTTTCATTGGTTCAAGTCGGGAGTGTCACCTATTCAAAATTTCAAATGTCACTCAGGATTTCAAGATGCATTTCCAGATCCAAATTGTGACTCAAAATTTCAAATTCCTAATTCCATGGTCATCCGTAGTCATTCAATTTCATTTGGTAATTTTCCCTTTAAGATTTAAATTTTCAAATTCGTGGCAAAGTTTCAATTTCAAGTTCCAAATTCAATCATTGTCAAGTTACAATTCATTTAAAATCCAATTTCAGTTTTCACCCATTTATGCCAATTACAAGATTTTGACAAGACTAAAATTCCACTTCGCCATTCATGTCTATGTTCAATCTCCAATTTCACGTCCAATTTTCTATTTGTTCTATTCAAATTTCATTCAATCTTAATTCAAGTTGCATTGCCAAGAAGGATTCATTTCATTGTTCTAAAACCGTCCAAAGCCTCATGCCTATTCCTACAAAAAAAAGTTTACACGAAAAACCTTTAATCCAAATTCATTGAAATTTAATTACTTTACTTGCTATAGAGTTTTACAAGTCCAAACAATTGGAAACAAAATGCAATAAAGTTCCAAAAGAAAAATAATAATAATAACCCGAATAGTATCCTATCCATCTAACATCTTTCTCCAACCTTCATGATGACGCTTGACTGAGCCAATTTCCATGACACAAAATGGCATCCTATCCATGACGTGAAGCTGTAACCGAGACAAGTTCCAAAAAAATAATAATATAAAGTAAACAATGGAAGGCTATTACAGAGGGAATCATAGTCAAATGACCACTATGATGCGAGAATAGAAGAGTGAAGGGGTGACCTATCCAAGTTTGTTCGATACGTCCTCGCCGGCGACATTTCCTGAACATTTTTTTTGGCAGCTGGCTTCGACTGATTTGTAAGTTGTTGTTGGATTAATGGACTTGAGCTGAACTGCTAAAGACTGCCATGATTCAAACTGTGTGACTGTCATGGCATGTTGTTTTACTGCTATGTATTTTCCAGCTAATAATTTACGTCATTCTCCGGATGTTATGCTGGTAAACACATCAAATAATGAAGGACATTACGAATGTACTCGTACCTGCACCACCTCTGGTAGAATTCAAAAACGCAGATATTGCATCACCTGAACCGAACCTCGATTTCAGAGTAATTCAGCAAAGAACCATTAGCTGCTCAATAGTTGCATATAGGTACCAAAGAGCAAATGGTCTCTTCCTCTCAGTTATGTTTTCCAGTTTCATTAAAGAAAGGGATCCCATGTACTCAAATAGAAGCTAAGCATCTCCTGCATATCGATCATAGAGGACATCAGTTTGAAACAGAGACGCATGATTTGATTCTCGGCTGGTCATTCCCACATCCTACCCTTTGACCCTCCTTGAATGTTTAAACAAGCTGAAGAGGAAATTCAATCTTAGGATCTACTTGAAGAAGAATTCCAAATAAAATAACCGACAACCTACCGTGAAGGTCCTTATACTTCTCACTGTGAAAAAAACAAATTTACCCAACACTTATCTTTGTCAATTTGAGGAGTTGTAGAGCTGTCACTATGCCAAAAAAGACCTTTAGCAGCGCTTTTTTTGTCCTTTAGCAGCGCTTAAAAGCGCTGCCAAAAGTGGCGCTGCTAAAGGTAAAGGCAGCCCTTTTTTATGGAAAAAGTGATGCTAAAGGCTCCCTTCCGCAGCACTTTTAGCAGCGCTTTTTTAGCTCTTTAGCAGCACTTTTATAAGCGCTGCATATTCCCCCCAACCATCCCCCCCTTTAGCAGCGCTTTCACAAAGTGCTGTCTTAGACCCCACCTTTAGTAGC